AGTGTTAGCGGTTGATGCTGTTGACTAGCTGTCTTTCCTTTAATCGATTCGTTTATATTTACGGACAGCTAACGTAGATAACTTTAACTTGGCGCGAATATCTGAAACAAATGTAAACAAAACTATATAAATTATCAGCTTAGAAAAGTTACTAGAGAGCTATTTTTAATTGACCCATATTGTCTGCTTGTTATATTCATAGAGACGTACTTTCACTTGATTCGAAATAACAAAATTTGTTGTTTAAAATCGTAAACGGCTGTTTGTTTTTGGATTTCGCGCAAAGCTACACGAGGGCTTTCTGCGCTAGTCGTCCCTAATTTAGCAGTGTAAGACTACAGGGAAGACACCCACCGCCTACTCTTGGGCTACTCTTTTACCAACGAATAGTGAGATTGACTGTCACATTATAGCACCCCCACGGCTGAAAGGGCGAGCATGTTTTGTGGGACGGGGTATTCGAACCCTAACCACCTGGCCATGCCGGGCCTCGTAAACGGCTGAAGACAAACCATACTGGCCCGGCATGGCCAGGTGGTTAGGGCGCTCGACTCGCAATCTGAGGGTCGCGGGTTCGAATCCCCGTCACATCAAACATGCTCGTTCTTTCAGCCGTTGGAGTGTTATAATGTTACGGTCAATCCCACTGTTCGTTGGTAAAAGAGTAGCCCAAGAGTTGGCGGTGGGTGGTGATGACTAGCTGCATTCCCTGTAGTCTTACATTGCTAAATTAGGGACGACTAGCGCAGAAAGCCCTCGTGTAGCTTTGCGCCAAATCCCAAACAAACAACCAAACCATACTTTAAACTACACTTGATTGGGCTTCTTACTCTTAAAACTTTGATAGTTTTTATATAATTTAATAACACAAAACATATCCTACTCCATTATTGATTACGTTTTGTTCTTTTCGAATATTTAAGTTGGCAAATTTGATATTTTAAAATCATATTAGTTTGCAGCAGAGATAAAAGTGATAAGTTGTTTAAAATATCAATTATTTAATAACCGTCAGGACAATAAATAGTTTACATAGATCATATAAAAATCAGTGATTGTTACCATCGTTACTTCATCAGCCATGGTAGTTTGTTAAATTCTGACTCATCCTACTCTTAAATATCTCTCTAACACATCTGACATCAGAGCATGCTTCGTTGCTTTGAGGAAAGACTATTTTTAGATAAGTTTTTAAAGTTGTCGACTGTTCTAGTTCTTGCCAGAAAACCGTTAATTGCTATTCTTTGACTTAGCTTAATATCTCATTAAAACACTCTCTATCTTTGCTGGTTTCTTACAAATGTATATATTTGCAGTGATTTATTTTTATGCCCTTTCTTACGCTAAAATTTTTTTAATTCAGTAAGAAATACCGACAAGCTTCTTTTATCTGTAAATTAGAGATAAGGCTAATCTATTAATATTTTATTTTTCTGCCAACCCTTGTTGCTTCTCTGTCACTGTTTATAAACAGTCTATCTTCTTTTATATTTAATAAATACAGAAAATAAAGATACTTTAAAAAGAGTCTGGACAGTAAAAGTTTAGATTTTTTTTTCAAATCTGCTCGCCCTCCAGTGGTACAGCGGTATGTCTGCGGAGTTACAACGCTAGAAATCGGGTTTCGATACTCGTGGTCAGCGAGCACAGATAGCCCCTTGTGTAGT